AGAGACAAGAGGGGATGACATTTGTCTGAGCTTTGGTATTCCAGTGTCACAAACAAGGGCAGCCAAATGTTATGCAGCAAAACATTCTTTGAAGAGCTATGAAACCAGAGGGCTTATCTGGTGGCTGTCCTTCTCCCTAGGTGACGTCAGGGCTCACCCTGGCTTCTGCGAAGGTTGGTGGAAGCAAGTCTCTGCCAACTTTGTGCATTCCCCAAGGCTGAGAGCATTCCCTGGGCTCTGTTCTTGGGAAGGGAATCATCACAAGATCTCAAAACATTTTCTCCTTTTTCCTCAAAAGGAGAAGCTGGATGGGGTGGTTTGTCAACTATGGCTTATTTAAGCAGTGCTTATCCAGTGTTGGCCTCCTGCTCTATGCACCTTCTCCAGCCCCATATGTTCAGTGCAGTTCTTTCAACTCTTAAAAAATATTTATTTATTTATTTATTTATTTATTTATTTATTTATTTATTCGTGCTTACATGTTTAGTGAGCATGTGGTAGTCAGAGGATGACTTGCAGGAGTCAGTTTTCTCTGTCTACCGTGTGGGTCCCAGGGATAGAACTCAGGTCATCAGACTTGGCAGCAAGCACCCTCACCCACTGTACCATCTCATTGGCCCCTGTCTAAGCAGTTAGCTCCTCCAACAGGAAATGAAAGGAGACTTAGCAAAGGAGTAAGAGATACACATGATAGGTGGATTCCAGTGATTCTCTCCATTTGTCTTCCTAGCCCCTTACCTCTACTCTGTGTCCCCTGCCTCGCTGTCACTTTAGTCCACCGTAGTGCTTGATCTCACTATTTCTAGTTCCCTGGGCAAGGTGGTGAAGCAGTTTATGGGTTTTAGGGGTGTGTCTGTGTTCAGTGATCAAAACACCTCAGGCCAAGAACAGTCATTTTAAACAGTCTAAAAATCATTTTAGACTGATTTTTGTTTGGGGCATAAACAAATCAATTCAATTGATTTTAAGTCAGAGTCTTGCTATGTAGCCCAGGCTTGCCTTGAACTCCTAGTTCTTCCTGTCTCAGTCTCCCCAGTTCTGGGATTACAGGCATGAGCCACTCTGTCTGACAAATGGTTTTTACTTTAAAGAGGAAACCTGGGCCTTAGAGACTCACACTGGTAAAATGAGGATGGGCCTTTAAAAGATAATCTCTTTTCTTCCACTGCCGTTAACTAGGCTCCAGTTACCTTTAAAGGTCTAAGGAGAAGGCTACTCTCTAACTAGGCTTGGTCATGCATTCCAGTCCTTAACTGGGCTTAACCTTGGGTAAATGTTTGTCATTGAACCTGAGTCCCACACACTGCCCTTTGCACAAAGCATTCAGTGATAGACGGAGACTACAAGGGGATATCTGGACATTGCTGTCACAGCATTTTCCATATTTCTGTCCACATTCCCAGCTTCCCTGTGAGCCACAAATTCCATTCAGGTGTTCCCAGTCTGCTTTCTCATATACTTCAGTGAATGCTGTGTGGGACAGAGATTCTGTCCTAGCCTTGACATGGGGACCCTATGCCTTGTAGCAGCAGGTTGGAAAGGTATGAGACGCTCCTGTGTTCTCAAACAGTGCCTGCCCTTGTCATCCTGGGACAGCTGGACCAGTGGGTTGGTGGGTGGGTGTACCTTTAACCACATGCTCATTTAAGTGTGTACCCAAGAAAAATCTAGCCTCAAAGCTGCTAGTTAAGTTTTTGGCTGGAAGTTTCAGTTGAATAATAGACTATGTCATTTGTGGGTCTCCAGGAGTAATAGACAGGTGCTGGGTGTCTTGTGTCAGCAGGAAAGGAGAAGCCTGTGCAGCTGAGAATAAACAGCAGTCCCTGGTAAGCTGAGCTCCTTTCATTTAAAATTGGAGGCCTGGCTGGGGGTGGGGGCATTGGAGCATTTTGGTCATCACCTGTCTGCTCCCCCAAGGTGAGGTCAGTTTCCCAGAGAACTGAGGTATCATTGAGAGTCAAATAGGGAAGGGGGGGAGAGAAATGGGGAGGGGAGAAGGAGGGTCTGAAAGGAAGTGGTGGGTACTCCTTGGCCCTTACACCGTCCATCAACTGCTTTGGGAAGTTCTTTTTCTCCAAAGCCTGTGCTTCTTTTTGCCTACTGGTAAAACAACTGTTGGAATGGAGAGCTATGTGCCATTTTGGGATGTGTCCAACTGAAGCCAGGACTGGTACAAGTCTGGAGCTGCAAGGGACCTGTTTTCCCAAGCTGATACATTTCTATGATTTTTCCCAGTTTCTACATTAGCTTCAGAAGGCCTGGTTTCCAGTCCTGGCCTTATCAGATTAGTCATTGTCATTCATGGGTGATGTTGGAGAAGTTTCTGTATCCCTGTCCCATTTCCATCATTCCGAGAAGAGGGTAGTACCTTTTGTCCTATCTCAGTCCTAAGGTCGCTGGGAAGAGGCAGTGAAGTTTTTTACAGTCTAAAGGTCACACACAAACTAGAGGAAAGTCAAAAGAAGGAAAAGCTGCTTTCTCTGGCACCTGCAACTATCCATTTCCTAAAGTAAGCAGAAACAGCTGGAGGGGCTGGGACGTGAGGGTTCCTAAAAATTTATTGTTTTTATTTTATGTATATGAGTGTATTGCCTGCACGTAAGTGCATCTATGTTGTGCAATGCCCAAGGAGGACAGCAGACGGCATCAGGTCCCCTGGAACTGGAGTTACTGCAGTTGTTAGCCATCATGTGAGTGCTGGGAGTTGAACCCAGGTCCTCTATGAGAGCAGTTAGTGTTCTTAACCACAGAGTCACCTCTCCAGTCCCATGAGGTTTTTTTTTCTTTTTCCCACGCTTCATATTTTGTTTTATTTTTGAGACAGGGTTTCATGCAGCTCAGGCTAGCCTCAAATTTGCTTTTTGCCAAAGATCATACTGAACTCCTGATTTTCCTGTGGGTATGTGTTTTGAGTAGGGCTGTAATGAGTGAAAAGATTATGGCTTGTAGGAAAGAAGAGACTGCAGGTAGACATGAGTGGCAGACAGTATCAGGGACAAGGGGTATTCTGGGTATTTGCTTCTTTGCAAGCGAGAACATTTTAGATTTGGTCTGGAGGAGGTTTTCCCTCAGGCCAAGTGAAATGTAAATGATCATTCTCAACTGTCTGTGCCCAAAGCTTAAATTAATTCTCAGAGGATTTGAGGTCCAGACTCTGGTAGGGAAGACACCTGACTGAAATGTATGGGAAGAGGGAGTTGGTGATTCCTTTCATTTTGAGGGCCATACATTTAAATTCAGAATGCCCATATAAGGCTGCATCCTTTCTTTTTCCAAACTATCCATAGGACTTTTTAACTCTTATGGACCCTCCTCTTATTTTTGTGACCTCCTAATGAATGGTTGTGTCGAAACTTGGTCTCTACATCAACAGGCAGGTTCCCTGAATCAGGAAGCTGTCACAGCCTCTACAGTGTTCCCCTCTGTAGAAGATCCAAGACAGTGAACAAACTGTGTAGATCCTTGGCTGAGCTCAGGATCCTGAAGTTTAGAGTCACAGCCCAGACTCTTCCTGGTTATGCTCTGAGCTGGAAGAGCTATTTTGTTCTTTGCCAGAGCTGACACCTGATGGAAAGTGGTTTCTCCTTTCCTTGCTACAGCTGGGAGTTAAAATAGAGTGATACTAAGTCATGCCTGTGAGAGCCAGCAGCCGGATGTGAAGACTCAGAAAAGGGACTGATGCTCTGGGGTCATTTAGAGGTGGGCCTGGCCTTGGCACTTCAGCTGGTCTCTCTCCCTGAGCAAGATATACTTCCTCCTTTTTCACAGCCTTAAGGAAGTTGTGCAATGTCAGGATGTCTTGAGCTCTCCCATGTGTCATTGCAGGACAGGATGGACTGACTGGTGGCCAGCTGTCACTCTAGATATCTTACTGACCTGTGAGGGTATATTCTACTTTGCAGCAGATTCTTACGGCCATTAGGGATGTGTTTGTTTCTTTCTTTCTTTCCTCAGCTTTGGGACATCTGTGAAACGTGACTGTCTTGGCTAGAGGGTAGACACTGGCTCCTAAAGGGATTCTGAGCCCACAGAGAGGGCAGATAAGAGGATGGATCAAATTGTGAACCTTGTGTAGTCTTTGGTGTTCCTCATGGTGTGCCACTGGAGGCAAATGCCTTGCTGGGGAGTGGGGTGGTGGTGCATGCTATGCCTGTGCTCTAGAAAGCTGGGCTCAGTCCCACAGTGTCTCCCCAAGCAGATCCCTTCTACCTTACATCTTATGGGGTACACCTGCCTAGGGGAAGGATGGTGCAGCACACTGAAATGCTACCAGGAGGAACCCATACTTTGTAGGCTGAGACTTGGGGACATACTAGATTTTGTGACCCAGCCTTTGACCCTGGTAGGTGGGAGCAGCAGTTTGAAACAGTCCCAGGAATGTCCAGGGATGCACTTGACCCCCTGGTGCTCTGATGGTGCACTTGCCTCCCCCATCTTCTCCTTTCACTCTACTTGGAATGAGGCTATGGTTTTGGCAGGGTTACACATCATGGACAGGGGTCAGTCTCTTTTCCTTACTGGTCCTGTGTGTCCCGTGTCACTCCATCCTACTGTCTGTCTTCCCTTGGTGTGTCTATGTCCTCAGCTATTACCACTGAACTGTCCTTTATTCTCAGTTTGCCATTTTGGAAGCAGCCTCCAGGAGCCTTGCTTTCTCCCTTTGACTATGCCTGTCTTCCTGATCTGCACTCTAAATAGCTCAAAGAATGCACATTTCCTAGGAGAAGAGATTTGATTGAAAAGTCCCCTAGTTTTCCCCTCAACTCCATATCTTGGGCGGCCTGAGAGTGAGGACTGAATCCATTGATTTCCCCTCCCCCAGACAAAAGCAGTGAGTTTTCTAACCAGAGCTGCCCGGCCAATCCTTGCCCTGAGAAAGTTTAGATTGTGCTCCTATTTCATTAGGCTGATTGGAGCAGCCTTGACTGGGAGGTAGAGTCCCTCCCCGAGGGATTCCGTGTACAGTTACAGGGCTGTGGCTGGTGTCCTTTTAGGATAGCAACCCACTCCCTCCGCAGCCCCCAGCTCCACCTCCTCCACCTTTTTTGTTTTTATCCAGTGTCTCCCTTGCTCTTTCTCTCTCTCTCTCTCCTCCCTCCTACCACCGTCTCTCCCTCCAGCCCTCTACTTTCCTGCAGCGCCAAGCCGGTTCCCCAACCTGGTCTGCAGAACGCAAACCGCTGAGAGTTGGCTGCGCCGCCCCCTGGGGCCCGGAGCCTCCGAGTCCCGCTAAGGCAGAGACGCAATCGGAGCAAGCGGAAGACAAACAAGCGGGCGCGAGGGGAGCCCCAGGAGGGCAGCCGGGTGGCTGGGCAGGGACGTCGCCGCGCCCCGGGTCGGGGCGGAAGCGCTCCGAAAAGTTCTAGGCTGCTCCAGAAAAAGGCTTGAGCTAGCCGCAAGCCAGAGGGGACGGTGCTGTGAGCCCTGGGGGGTGGGGAGCCGTGAGCAGGAGCCAAGAGCCAGGCTGCAAGCGCAGGGGACCGGGCGGCGGCCAGGGACCCCGATGCCGGCGGCCAACATGATGGAGAACCTGCAGCTGCCCGCCCTGCAGGTGCCGGAGCAGGGCGCCACCGAGGGCAGCGCGGTGTGGTCCAGCTCGTCCACCCCCACGCTCCGCCGCCGGCGCTTCAAGATGCGCAGGATGAAGAACGTGCAGGAGCAGAGCCTGGAGGCCCGGCTGGTGACCGAGGACCTACCCTGCGTCTTGGGCCCGGGCAAGGAGTTCCTGCAGCTGCCATCCATTGAGATTACGCCCTCCAGCGACGAAGACACCCCGTGGTCCAACTGCTCCACACCCAGCGCTTCCCCGCGCCGAAAGCGCTTCCTGCTCCGCAAGTGGCTGAGAGTGAGGGAGCGGAAGGAGTGCAGTGAAAGCAGGTAGGTCCCGGTTCCTCCCCAGCAGACTTCCCCTGTTCCTCCAGCCCCTCCCGAGAGCCATCCAGGTCCCCAGGGCATCCCGGTGGAAACTTCCAGGAGCCTCACCAGAGCAGCTTCAGGCTGGACACCAGGGCTAGTGGACTTTTCTCCACAGCCAGAACTAGGGGCTTCAATACCACGTGACATGTTGACACGAGTTTGGCGCAGCATTCCGTCTCTTGATCCTCACGCAAAATGGAAAGGGTAGCAGCTAGTATTTATTGAGCCCTTGCTGTGTGCAGGCCACTGTGCCAAGCAGTGCACATTTCATCCTTAGTCAAACACTAAGGTAGGTAACTCTGTGATTCCATTGTACAGGTGGAAATGGCCGAGGACTAGTGAAAGGTTTTTTACGTGGTGCCTCCACTTGGATTTCTGAATTCCATTTCACTTTTGTCAGTCCACCTACACTAAGATGCCCACACTGGTCCACATGTGTAGAGGTGAAGTACTCACACTGAATGAGTCACGTTTCCTACCACATCAGAGTCACATCTCTGATTCTCCATGGTTTGTGCCAGCCCCGTTTTTTGCTGGGTATCTGATTAGGGGGAGTTTGTTCAACTCCACAGGCCACAGTGGAGTGCTGCTTACCAAGTTGTGCTTGAGCCCAGCCCCCTGCCTGGGAGTCTTCACTGCCTGACAGACACCATGCTTTTGAACTCTGAGGCTGTGACAGTTAACAGACATTGGTACTATCCTAGGGGGTTGTGGTGCTAAAGGTGGAGATGTTCAGAAAGTTCTCAGGGGAAGGGGAGGGAGAGTGAACGGATGTGGAAGCTAAGGATGAGGGGACACTAATAAAAAGTGAAGAGGGGCTGGGGACTTGGCCTCAACTACTTGCCTAACATACAGGACATCTGAGTTCAATCTCTAGCACTTCTGAAATTAATTTTCAAGTTTGAGATATGCATGGACTACATGGCAAGATGACATCTTAAAAAACCAAGGCAAAATAAAGCAAACGAAAAACCAAACCCCCAACCAACCAACTAATCAAATAGCAAAAAGAAATTAGACAGGTGAATTTCATTCACAATGAAGTGACAGAGCGCCTGGCAAATGTACAATATGCTACCTATACTACAAAAAGAAAACGTTCTGGAGACGGAGAGGAAAGCCTGGAGGGAGGGTCTCAAGCCATGACCAGTGCAGATAGGAAGAAGAGAGCAACACAAGGTGAGGTGCCTAAGATGGACTAAGTGTGGACTAAGGAAACAGTATGGACTAAGGGGTATAGTCAAAGGCATAAGAAACAAGTGTGCCCTGTGGCTTCGTGGGGGTGCTAAGGATTAAGGTTGGGTTTACATGGACTAAGTGTGGACTAAGGAAACAGTATGGACTAATGGGTACAGTATAGTCAAAGGCATAAGAAATAAGTGTGCCCTGTGGCTTCGTGGGGGTGCTAAGGATTAAGGTTGGGTTTACAGAAGATGAGCCTTCTGAATCTTCCAGAGTTTCCCTCTCCTGTTAGCAATGCCCAGTTGTGGTCCTTGGGGACAGTGTTCCTTCTGTACTGGCATTTCATCCAATGGGCATTTTTTCAAAGGGAAATGAAGCAAACTTGGTGGGAGCTAATCTCTAAGACAGTTTGTCGTTGCCTGGTGCTTTCTCCTCAAATGTGAGAAACCCTAAAAGAGATTCTGCCGTAAATACCGAGGACAAACCATGGAGGAGAGTCTTACATTGCTGATTGGTGTGGGGAGACAGGTGGATCTGAGTAGAGTAAAATGTTTCTGGTTTTGAGAGTTATTTAAGGTATGATGAATTTTTTTGGCTGGTTAAAGTAGGGAGGTTAGTCTTAAAAGTAGAAAGATCATTTTACTTCCTAGATATAGTTTAAAGTAGTCCTTTAATGTGATGACTTGTCGGATTAGAAAAATATATCTTCTTACCCTTTGGCATCCATGGAGGTTGGTTCCAGGACATATTGTAGGTCCCTTATATAAAATGACATAGTATTTGCATATAACCTATGTATATTTTCCCAGACTTTACTTACACATACACACACACACTGCACATGTGGAGGTCACAGGGACAACCTTAGGGAATCTGTTCTCTCTTTCTACCATGTGGGTTCTGGACTTGAATTCAGGTCATCAGGCTTAGTGGCAAAAGCCTTTGTCCACTGAGCGTTTCTCATATAGTTTAAATCATCTCTAGGTAACTTATAATACCTAGCACAATGTAAATGCTATCTAAAGAATTGTTATGTTGTATTATAGTGAATAATGGTAAGAAAAACAAGTCTGTTTTGTATGTTCGTGGTGGTGTAGTCTGTGATCCCAGCACTAAGGAGGCTGAAGCAGGAAGACTGAGTGTTCAAGCCCAGCCTGGTCTATATAGTGAGATCCTGTCGTAAACAAAGTCTGTACATGTTTAGTATAGATGCAGTTCTTTTCTGAATTATTTCCATCTGTAATTGGTTCACAGATATAGAACCTGGAGCTACAGAGGGTCGACTGTATATGTAAAAAAGGGCAGACTGTGTTAGGGGTGTAGTTTAATTGGTAAAACCTGCATGAAGCCCTAGATTTCATCCCTAGTACCACATAAACCAGGCATGGTGACATGCTTATAATCCCAGCACTTGGGAGATAGAGTCAGGAGGATCAAGAGTTCAAGGCCAGCCTTGGCTACATATTGAGTCCAAGGCTGTACTGGGCTATGTGAGACTTGGGGGGTGGGGAGTGAGAGCAAGAGCGAGCGCGAGAGAGATTAAAACCCAAGTTTATCTGACAAATCTCTCCTCTTACTCACTCTATACCACCTCTGTTGGAATCTATATGGATTGGGTCTAAAACAAAACCTCATCATTTTAGACCTTGGTGTCAGAAGACAGACTTCTTGGCAATCATGTGAAGACATACCTGTAGGTTTCTACCAAGATTGCTGGAGAAGCAGTTGCCATTAACACAGTAGAGGGCAGAAACATTGAACCATAGTCAGAAGGCTTGGGTTTACACATGAGTTCTCCCATTGATTCCCTAAGGAATCTTGCACACTTAAGGTTATCTCCATGAATTTACCTGTTTCATCTGTGGAAAGCAGTATCATGTGGGTTCATGGGAGGTCGCAAGAACAAAGCGTGTGGAATATTTTATTAACTTCCTTTGTGTGTCTCTCACGTGGAGTGGATGTGTGCTTTAGAGTGTGAGGTTACATACTCACATGTAGGGGAGCCTCTGAGTCGCCTCACACATTGTGTGACTTGGAAATGATGATCGAAAAATGGCTCTGCTAGGGCTTGGATTAGAGAGGATTAACATAGGGAGAGATCTTTGTCACAGTCTCCACCCCAATTTTACCTTTCTGCCCAGAGTAAAACATCTTCGGAGCTTGCCATAGAATTCAGTTTGATGGGAGAGTTGGTAAGATGTTGAGGTGACTACAGCTTATGGACTTACTGCACAAAGCTGAAAATGTAAAGAGTCAGGGGATAACTTTCTTCTGTCTTCAAAGCCTAGGAAGAGGGAAATGGGGAAGGTGGTAACATGAGCATGATTTGGGGGCCTCGGACCAAGGAGAACTGCCATGGAGCTGGCTGCAGTGGCACAGGCTTGGAATCCCAGTAGGAGGTGGGGGTGGCAGCAGCAGGAATTCAAGGTCATCCTTGGCTACATAGCAAGTCAGAGGCCATCCTGGGCTAAATAAGTCAGCATCTCAGAAACAAAACAAAAGAAAAACCAAAAAACAAATCCCAAATTTGAACTAAAGCAGCAACAACTAAGCAACCAACCAAATAAAAGCCCCAAACAAAACAAAACTCAGCCTTGGAATATGCCAAGCCTAATCTTGTCCATCGTTATATCCCTGCCTGCTCATGGTGACCCGTGGATGTTCACTGGTAGCTAAAATAATAGTGAGCGAGTTAATTCCCTTTTCTCTGTTTGAAGTGAAATTCTCTTTATTTATAAGTCTGAGAATTTTTCATAGGGAGATTAATCCAGAGCTGAGTTTCAAAAAAACAACAAACAAAAACAGCATTACTGAAATGTGACTTAGACACCATGCAGTTCACCTCTTGAAGTGTTGGATCAGGACTAGAGTCTAGCTTAGTTTAAGAGTACTTGTTCAGTGTGCATGAGACCCTGAGTTCACTTACCAGGATGGGATAAAGTATCTAATCCAATGTTTTTCTTTATATTTATAGATATGTACACCCATCCCCATGGCTAATTTTAAATCATTAAGAATGTTTTATTTATTACTTTTATTTTATCTGTATGAGTGTATTGCCTGCATGTCTATAAGTGTACCCATCATTCAATGCCTGTGAAGGTCAGAAGAGGGCTTCAGATCTCTTGGACCTGGAGTTAGGGATGGTTGTTAGCTGCCATGTTGGTGCTAGGAACTGAACCCAGGTCCTTTGCAAGAGCAGCCAGTGTTTTTAACCACTGAACCATCTCTCCAGCCCTATCCTCTGGACACATTCTTAACTATCACTGTTTATATCATCCTTCCTTCAGCAATTCTGCACCTTTTCTATAGGACATCCCTCCCATAATAGTTGCTGGTGTCTTGTAGGCTGGCAACTAGAAAATGGTCTTTCTGTTTGGCTCCACACCTGACCTTTGGTAGTGGCTTCTACCAATTCTGCCCAGCTTGGCAGGTGAAGCTGTCTCAGTGATGCTAGCCTAGCTGGCTTGTGGTTTGCAGGTGCACATCCTTGGTATATTTATCTTGAATCTCCATCCCTTTCCTTTTACCATTAGAGGTCGATTTACCTCAACTTTCAGGTAAGTTTTCAGAGAAGCAGGGTGAGTTTGTGCATCTAAACACTCTACTTAATCAGAGCCTGCTCTGTTATTATTTATATGTCACCATTCACTGTGTGATCTGCTGTGTGTGAGTATAGTAGAGAAAAAACTCACATCTTTCTTAACAAAAAGTCACACATCAGTGCAAAGGAGACTGTGACAGAGTAAGCAGTCAGTGAAGGAAAGGGTTAACTAGTA